GTGTGTCTGTGTGTGTTGTGTGTGTTGTGCGTGTGTGTGTGTGTGTGTGTGTGTGTGTGTGTGTGTGTGTGTGTGTGTGTGTGTGTGTGTGTGTGTGTGTGTGTGTGTGTGTATCTGTGTGTGTGTGTGTGTGTGTGTGTGTGTGTGTGTGTGTGTGTGTGTGTGTGTGTGTGTGTGTGTGTGTGTGTGTGTGTGTGTGTGTGTGTGTGTGTGTGTGTGTGTGTGTGTGTGTGTGTGTGTGTGTGTGTGTGTGTGTGTGTGTGTGTGTGTGTGTGAGTGTGTGTGTGTGTGTGTGTGTGTGTGTGTGTGTGTGTGTGTGTGTGTGTGTGTGTGTGTGTGTGTGTGTGTGTGTGTGTGTGTGTGTGTGTTTGTGTGTGTGTGTGTGTGTGTGTGTGTGTGTGTGTGTGTGTGTGTGTGTGTGTGTGTGTGTGTGTGTGTGTGTGTGTGTGTGTGTGTGTGTGTGTGTGTGTGTGTGTGTGTGTGTGTTTCTGCAGAAGATGAAAATTGGCTCTGTTCTTTGGCGCCTCCCTCTCTACCTGACTTGCTTTTCCTCGCCCATGTGGTGTAGGCTGCCTGCTCTGAATATCGGCCGCGTCGGCATCCGAAGAGATATGGCTTGCTTTCTCACGGGCCCTTTAATAAATGCCTCGCTCGTCCTCACCAATGCCGAAAAGGACTTGCTTGCTCTTGCCGTGGCAAGAGTTCACAGGAAAGGCTGCACTCCTCACGACGGGGTTGTATGCTTGGCTATCATGGCCAACTGCCCTTCGCTTCACTGCTTGTGCGCATGCCGAGCTTTTAGTTTTGATCACACCACCGCGCACAAACACACGCCCACACACCCACACACGACACGCGACTAACACGTCAACCACACACCAGACCCAAGAGAAACACATTCACCAATTCAACTCTCGAAGAACATGGCTAAAAGAGGAGAACGTGCTTCCTACATCGGTTTGTGTTTGTTCACGTACCCTTTTGTGGCGGTGTTTCAGAGGGAAGCCAACAACAAGCCAGCCAACCTTAATCTGAGATACATGTTTTGTAGGCATCAATCTAGAAGCCTAGGACATGTTGCCAGCTGCAACGGACCAACTGCAAGCAGGTACGGTGATGGCGCCATCGCAGCGACACCACATCTGAGCTGAAACCGGGTCTGGCATACTCCCCATCCTGACTGCATCACGGATGGCTGCAGGATGCCAACCATGGCAGACTCTGAAAACAAACAAGCAAACAATCAGCCAAGAAATCCAATCCAAACCCAACGTCGTCCTAGCATAATGGGGGGGGGGTCGGCGATTGGGCGGAATGTATATATATATATATATGTATATATATAATCATACGTGTGTATGTGTTTAAGTATACATATATATATATAACATATATCTATATGTATATATATATACCTTGTTCGAAGGATGCCACGCGACTCATTGTCCTCCTGCACCGGTGTGCCTTGTGCTGGTCAACATGTAACTTCAACATCACATGCATTGAAGCGTGGTTGCAAACTGCTTTCAAAACAAAGAAGCACAGAACATGAGCTGGTTACATGTGTTGCATATCTGACTCTTAGCCTTTCTATTGCAGAACCAGTCCATATTAAGCCTATCCTAGGCAGGTCAAATACTGCATCCGAGTGGCAACGATCCCTGCACCACTTTCCAATGGCCAGCATCAGAGCCAGCATGCAAACAACTGCCTCTGGTTGCAGAATGCATCTGCACAATCAAAGTCCAACCCAATGTCCTATCTCCAACCTTGTTGCTACGGCAAACAGTCCTTCATCTCAGCACCGCGCAGCAGTGATAAAGGGCGCAACGACCACACCCATAGCTGCATCCACGAACAACGTGAGAGCAGGTCTTGGCCAGGGAGAGCATGCGGAACACTCCCAGTACGAAAAGAGCTGGGCTAGAAACGTCCAATTTGCTTCCACTAGCGTTTGCTATCTCACACTACTTGGCAAATCACACTCATGCCGCTCTGCCGGCTGGGCTCAAAACGCGACGGCTGCATCAAGCGGCACCACGACAATCACACCTTGCGGCTGAACATGCATAAGACTATGCTGTACTACAACTAGTCTTGTTTTACACCCGTGCTCGTTGCCGTTCTATGTCTGTTCGAGGTCCGGCCGTGGTAGCTGACGTGAGTGACTTTCAAACAAGTATGAAAGTCATTGCTCCCCTGCCAGTGTCCTGAGACCGCTGCGCAAGGCAACTTTGCTGATTGCTTCAATTGCAGCTCCAAGATATTCAGAGTCAGCCCTCAGTGGGCGAAAGAGCGGCGGGGGAAGAAAAGGCAAACTCTGATGTCTCCTTTTATGGTGCACGTCCTCCCGGATCAAACAGCGACATCCAGTCATCCCTGCCAAAAGCCTTGCTGCCTAAACACTGCGCCAATCGAAGTGCATTGCATCAGCCAATGGGAGGAGGTTAGCCAAGGGCCCGGCACGGCTTCTCCCTGGGCAAGGCTCTCTCCAAGTGGCTTCATCACTACCTGCAGATTCGAACTCTCAGGAGCACCTGTGGCCCAAGCTTGTGTGTGGGTGGCACGTGGCTAGCTTCTACACGATTTCACCAATTCTACCACAGGCAGGGGGCCAATGTCTATCAAGCAAAGGCCAACGAAGCTTATGCTGCAGCACGGACTGGTCAAATTGGTCATCCAAATGTACTTGTTGATTGTGATCTCAAAAGGCTTCTTTCCCATGACTCAAGCTGCTTGCTTGCCTCAATTCTACAAAGTAGATGTTGTTCATCCCGTGGCACCCAAGTGTTCCACACTGCATCTTCACTTGGCGCATCCCGAACATCCAGCTTTGGCCAGAGGTGGCCACCCGAAAGTCCATTCGATACCACATAGTTCACCCACTTGTTGCAGTGTGGCACGCCCAGCGGCCCAAGCTCGTCCTCTCTATTTCGCACAGCGTGGAGACTGACATTGAGCGATTGGCCTCAAATGGCCAGCCTTGCACGTGAAACCTTGGAGAGTCTCTGACAGCGCTCAGTTTGCCATGTCCGCAAATTGAACCAAAGGGCGGACCGCTGTATTGGCATCCAGGCAAGTGTGGTTCGCCAGACTTCCAGGATGCAATCTACAAAGGCACAGTGCTGCAGTTGATGAGCAACAGCTTGTTGAGTTGTTAACAGCTGATACCTCTGTCTCGCTTGGCAATTCAATATGTGTCGCAACTTCTGCCAAGCGATCTGTGCCTTAGCGCAAGCCAGGACGGGCTGTTCCATCCTCTTATCCTACAGGACAGCATTGCAATGTAGCTGTCTTGGCATGACACCATGAGCTTGCAAGCAGGGCCGAGTTCATAAAGTGCGCATGAGTTTGCCCGCTTGCCGGGACGCTGTCTTTACACCTAGGCTCGTCATGTGCACCTGGATGCCCATCGTCTTTCACGTTTCACCACATTGACATGCAAATCATGTAACTAGTCGAGGTTGAAAAGCGTGCATGACGGCCCAAGATCGACTGCATGCAAGATATGCAAGATCCAGGTCGTTGGACCACATAGGCTTGTGCTACTCTCATTCAAAGCCTTGCCTCAGCTTGCTGGATTGCGGGAGTTGGATTCTCAGCTAAACTGGGCCAAAGAATGCCGAGCAAGCACTGCTTGGCAGTGTCAACTCTTTTCATGGTAAGCTCAGCCTGCGGCTATCATTTGCCATCTGCAGGCTGTCGACGTGGTACCATTGTGGCCTGAGCAAGTGAAAATCCTGAGTTTCAACGTGCCAAGAACTGTCAAGGTATCCAACACCAAGGAATCAGTAATTTCACTCTTGTTTCGGTCGCAGTAGATCTACTCGGGAAACGGGCCGGGTCCAGCTTTTGGGGTCCATGATCCATTCACAAAGCCAACCCGTGTGCTTGCGAAATGTGCGTGACACCTAGGCGCGCAACCCAATTGGTCTTAAATGGTGGAGATGAACGCCTCGTGGAAGCCAGGTCACGAAGCTGCGCTCGCAAAACCCGGCCCCTGCTAGACCTGCTATATATATATATATATACTGATCAATGCCGTAAGACATGTAGCCATTTGACACTGGAGGGGCTGGCGGACCCTCTGATTTGTGCGTGGTGCAGAGTGACTCATGCAAGCAGAAGAGCACCGCTCTCGCTCATTTCATCTGGGGTTCCTGCTGAAGGGTTGGCAATGAGGCCGACTTCATCACCTTGACCTGCCAGTATTTGAGTGTGCGTTGACATGCTAAGATCTAAACCAGCCATGCTCTGCAGAGAATCTTCAATGGGCAAAGAGCCCAACTGTAAGGCCGCAAGTGCTCTGGCTGTGTCAAATCCGGTTGACCCAGCCATGACACACCAAGTCACAAAGCAACTGGCAGCTGCCTGGGGCGCTGGTGGCTGTGGCGCTGCCCCGGACGATCCTCAGTGATTCCCTCGCTGATCTCTCGCACAGTCGAAGAGTCCCAACTCCGTTTGTGAATTCCGCCGAGACACCCTCCAGCAATGCTGCGAAAGCGCCTAAAGAGGCCGCTGGGCCTTGGGAGCCTGGACTCCTCGGCTCGAGGCTCGACATCACGTCGAGAAGCACGCGACTGTCCTGCTGCTTAGAATGCTGGCTATCTTTCTGGAAATCATGCCTCGCAGCCGGGTCTCTTTACAAGGTGAAATGGGCTGTTCAGATTCCGTCCGTGTCTTCAATAGATCCCAGCCTGGAGGCTCCCAACCATTTCCAATCTCTGCGGCACGTCCAATGGTGGCAGCCTGATATGTTTCGTGTGAAGCCTCGTTGACTCACGGCTCATGACGCAATGATGACGCAAAAGCTATGGTTGACCATACGAGACAGCATCGACACGGGAGTCGAGCAGGATGCACAGCCTTCATCATGGCTTCGGTGACATCTAGCTTGTCCTCCGCTGCAGAGTCCGGCCCAAAACACACAGGCTTCCAGGTGAACAGCGCCCGGCAAGTGAACTAGCCTTTGGCGAGCAGGTGTGCAATTGACAACAACGCAGTGCGGGTGTTTGTAGGGGGGCTCATGATGATTTGCAAGGTGGTGTGTTGAATTGAACGGCAATTTCACCAGCATGTGCAGTGGCAAATGTTGAGCTCTGCGGGTGCTCATGGCAGCCCTCGGTCCCCGGGTTGCAGCAGCGTGTTGAGGCTGGCTCGGGAGAGGCTTGCCTCCAAATGCACAAAAGAGTTGACCACGCAATACAATGCGCAGCCTGCTGTAGGCAGGTGCAGGGAATTGCGACAAGAAACCCACGTTCACATGGCTAACACATCGGCTAATTTCCAGCAGAAAATATCTGAACTAATGTGGATAGATCCAGAGAGCCTTCAAGCTTGAACAGCAGAATTTACTAGCTAAAGCTAGGTTCATTGAGTGCACCGACTTGTGGCCTCACCAGGGCTCCAGTGCACTGTGGAGCTGCTCATGCTGCCTGAATTGCTTAACTGGCAGCAGCAATGTGAGGACCGAATCTGTGACCTCTGGAAGGTACGGGAAGCATACACACTTCAAGCAGTCTCTTGATACTCGACTCCCCATTCGCTGCGGCAAAGGAGCTGGTCTCTGAAGCCAGTGGGGGAGGAGACCGGGCGCAACTACAAGAAATGAGTGAGTATTGCACACGATTGGCATAACATGACGCATTGTCAACAGAAGCTGCAAGTGCAGGTGCTACCTACGTGGCATTTGAGCCTTGATGGCAGCAGTTTCGCAAAGCTTGCACGGCAACACACTTGTTCCCAGTGTGTAGGGGGTTTGCGTCTAAATTTCCATGAACAAGGCGCGCTTCATGGGTTCATCAGCTTCAACTCCATCCAACACACTTAGATCCACGCCAAATCACTGTTTGAAGTGAAGAATTCCAGGTGATCTCCAGCTACCACAGCCTGAAGGCATGCAAGTCAAGCATGCTTCCCAGTCATAAACTTCTTGGCACTGGCCGCTCAGTGACTCTTCATTTATTGACTCTCATTGCCGTGCCTCAGGAGTCAGCTCACGAGCCCACTCATGGGGCAGTTCCCAGATCTTTTGATACCTCAAATGGAGCGAAACAGCAGGAATTTTGAACCCTGCCAGTTCAACTGGTTGCCAAATTCTCTGCTTTGCGCACTCAAGAGCGCCAGTATCTGCGTTCGCTGCAGGAGAGGCCTGCCAGCCTGACATTCAGGCAGGCGGTATGTGCGTCTGACACCGTGAAAAATACGCTTCCATCCAGCTCACGAAGACACCTTGAAAAGCCTTCTCAACTTGAGCACGTGTCAGTCGTCAGTCTGCATGTTGCCATTGAAATACTTCTTGCTTGCACTATTGCTACACTGCATCATGGTCCAAGAAGCCCTGAGCTCTACACACGCTTGTCATTTACCCATCCTAATGATGATATTGGCTGGTCAAAGCCAACCTAGGTGCCACGCAATATCGCGCAATCGACTGACAACACCGCACCCAGCCACTCAGCCATCACTCATTTGGCAGCATGCATGGTGGAGGTGAACAAGCTGAGGGTATGCGTAAGAGAGTTCCTGTGTGTGTGTACTCATACACCGCTAAACGATTTGCCAGCGCGGGGCTATGCAAGCATGTTGTGTGTATGCACCGTGCAGACACGACATGAGCTGGTGGTGTTTGGCGCTACGGTTATGTTGGGGTAAAAACTGGCGCGCAACCTTTCTCGATGCGTCTTGAGCCAACGTTTCAGTCGGTCGCAAATGTTCATGAAATGTCGAGTGCAGTCTTCACACTCCCCCTGTGGCCTGTTGCCACAACACTCAAACCTGTTCCCACCCCGAAGACTCTGAGGTCTCCTCTTGAGGTGGGTCAGGTTCGCTCCCAGTCTTGGGAGAAAACGCTACCGGGCCCGCCTCAGCTCCTCGCTCCACTGGGCCACCCTTGACGTACCCCACCTCCCAAGTCCTCGCCCGAGCCGACGAAGACAATGCCTTCTCCTTCACCTTCGCGACCTCCTTCTGAGTTCCCGAAACGGCTTCTCGTCCTTCTCCTTGATCCGGAAGAACGTGTAGCCTCGCCGCTGCTGCATTTTGGAGGTGGCTTGCCTTGCCTGCGGCGCGGTCCAGCTATCCTCCTCAGCGCGCTTGAGGCCCAACCGCGACTCCCCGGCGAAGAGCTTCACCGTGGTTCGGGTTGACTCCAAGTCCAGAAAAGTGGAAGGTTAGAGGTAGTTGGAGTTCGAGGTTAGAGTAGGAGGTTGGAGGTCGAGTGAAGACTTGGGCTTAGAGAACTGAGATGTCAGAGACACTTAAAATGAGGCACGGGTGGCCTCACTCTTTGAGACAAGCAAAAGCAAAAAACCGGCACCAGCCAGGAAAGAGAAGTTGGAGGTCAGAGTCAGACGTCTTGCCAGGCGTCTTCCGACTTCCCCAACCACCAAGAGCACGCCTCACCCCTTTGCCAGAGGATGGCATGGCTTTGGCAGGGTGGATGAAGAGCAATCCCCATGCGGCATAAAGCGCACTTTGCACCTTTGGATGCGCATGTGAAGGTCCGGCATACGGGCAACTCGATTTGCGCCTGTGAAGACTGCACTTGACATTTCGTGAACATTTGCGACCGACTGAAACGTTGGCTCAAGACGAAAGGGTGCCACCAGTTTTTTACCCCAACATAACCGTAGGTTATGAGCCCAAGCCAGCCATGATGAGCAGGCGGAGACAACAACAAGATCTTGTTCGAGACGGAGAAACCGCCGACCAGGCGCTGGACCGGATGATTCGCGAGCACGGATCTTCCAGGAGGGCAAGGTCGGAGAACCTGGGGGAGAGGCGCGATCTTCGGAGGATGACGGCTGGTGGGGAACCGGCTGTTCGGGACACCGAGGTGTGGACGCTACCTCCGGGATTACATCACGGAGATGAACATGGTGCGGGAGGGGCAGGAGCGGAAGGCCGTGGCCCACCTTTGCCACCTGGAGGAACGGAAGTGGTCAACATCCTGGAGAAGGACAAGCTCGGGGCAGTCGTGATGGGCAAGGTCCGGGACATCAAGGAGAGCAGGTTCACGGCCAGGTAACTCATCACAGACTAGATGAGAACGATCGTGATGGGACGGGAACCTTTGATCCTCGGCGGCATCAAGAGCCTCGCAGAGACCATGGGCTTCCTGGAGGGCACGATCAGGCTTTTCGTGGAGGCAATGGACGTGGTTTTTCCGGAGGGCACCTTTTTGTGGAGCTCATGGACATGGGTTTCCTGGAGGGCATGATCAGGCTGGTCATGGAGGTAAGGGACATGGGTTTCCCGGAGGCCATGATCAGGGCTTTAGCCCTATATCCGCTCTGGAGCCCTGAGGTGCAGCAAAGAGCGGCCCTTGGCAGGGGGCCACCTGGAGGTGCTTCATCGCAAGAGCGCCGGCGGGAGCCTTGCTCTGGAGGAGATAAGGAGGTGGAAGACCTACGGAAAAGGGTTCTTCGAGAAGCAGAGGAGACCTTCGAGCGAGAGGTTATGAGGCTGCAAGCGGCAAGGGCAGGAGATGACGTTTCCTACAAGACGGCTTCGGACGGAGGAGCAACTGGTGGTCCGGTGCCACCGAGGCCAGGAGGAACTTTGTTCACGGATGGTCCACTGAGGACCGACCTCCTCCACCGCCGCCTCCACCGCCTCCAAGACCAGTTGAAGGAGGAGGTGAAGCTACGACAGCCTTCAGACTGTCGGAGGCCTTGAGGAATTTGCACAACGCTTGCAGCCAACTTGCCAGGCATGGGGGAGCTCCACGGCATGAAGGGCCGAGGTCATCAAGAAATGGAGGAGGACCTCCGCAAGAGCCTGATCCAGACGAAAACGTGGGCGAAATGGGCGCCTGGACTGGTGGCGGCCATCAAGATGTCCCTCAAGGAGCTCATTGGGAGGCTCGAAGAGCGGAAGGAGGAGAAGAAATTGGAGGCTGGGGAGCTCAAGAAGATGACCTTGGAGAAGTGGAAGCAGCACGTTGGGCGGGGGCACACTCCGTTCAATAGAAGGTGCCGCATTTGCACGCAGCCCCATCGGAGATTGAAGGCGGACATTCCGTCCTACGTCCTCAACGTGGACATTGCTGGGCCATTTCCGACAGGGGAGGATGTCGGAACGGGCAGAAGGTGAAGTACGTGCTGATTGGAGTTGGGGACAAGGAGCCTTCAGAAGCAGCAGAGCCGGAGGAGGAGGACCCAAATCCAGCAGATTGGGAAGAGGGGGATGACCAACCCCGTGCATCAGATGAGGAGGCCAGGAGGCTCAACGACAAGGTTAAGGACGAGATGGCCGACGCTATGAAAGGCGTGACGGTGCAGAACGTAACGATGGCGGAGGTTAGGGAATCAAGGAGATGTCATCAGGGCCATCAGCCTGATCTTTGTGGAGTATCGCAGCCTGGGCATCCCGCTGTACTGCATGCATTGCGATCGGGCGAAGGAGTTCCTGGCGAAGCCGGTGGAGGAGTGGCGCTTAGAGCACAACCTGTTGCTCACCATGACGGCGGGCGATGACCACGCGGCCAATGGACGAGTAGAGACGGAGGTCAACCAGGTAAAGAGAAGGTTGCGAGTGGTCCTCAAGGACTCAGGGGCTCCGGTGAAACTGTGGCCTACGGCGCTGCGACGCGTGGTGCTCCAGAGGAACCAGATGCAACTCCAAAGACTTGGGGTGGACCTTCCCGATGCTCCCGTTCTACTCCAAGGCGATGGCGAAGACAAAGCGGTGGCATAAGAAGGGCCCCCTGACTTCTCCATTTCGAGAAGTGCGCGGTGGTTCAGACAGAAGACGGGAGAAGAAGGGCATCCAGCAGCAGATGGAGAAGGTCTGGCACCCGCTCTACGTGAACTGCGAACGGGGGAAATCGTGGAGTCTTGAAGGAAGTCTGGAGGAAACGAAGAACCTCATGAGCAGCTACCAGTGGGGCTTCAAGGAAGCACTAGCAAAGGAGCTCAAGGCAATCCCTACACAAAAGACCACTGGGAATGGTCAAGGAGCTGCAATGGAGTTCCTCCTGGGTGGCATCAACCAGCTGGAGGATGACCTGGTGATCATGCAGGACCAGGAGAATAAGAACTTCCACAAGTTGGCAGGACTGCAAGCAGGAGACGGAGAAGAACCGGCGAAGGTTTGGCAAACCTACACGGTGCCCTTGCAGGAAGTGCGGAAGGATCTGGAAGCGTGGAGGGAGGCCATGATGGACGAGTGTCGCTCCCTTGTGAAAACGGATGTGGTCAAGCCCATCAACGAGTGCGATCTGGCGGCGGTTCCGGGGATTGAAGATGCAGAGTACGCCCCGAAGTTCTGCGGGATGGAGTTGAAGTGGGACGAGGACGGCGAGACTCTCCGTGTGGGACAACCCTCGTACATCTCGGAGTTGATGCAGCGTCACGAGGTGACGATGGCCAAACCGGCCCCGTTCTACAAGCCGGAGGTTCCTGAAGATCCGGTGGTGACGCAAGAAAGCATC